AGCTAATGTAAATAAAGACAACTTACACGAATTTCAATCGAAATTTTTCCTTTCGAGAAGTACTCAAATGTCAAATGGCTCATCATGGTGAAATTCTAAGACATTTAAAAGGGTAGACACCATTAAAACTTGCGTAGCTGTCTCCATTTTCAGTCGTAAGATCAGTGGTTTACTTAGATCTTTATCAGTCGGCACGCTCATTTGTCGCACCAGTCTGATTAAATATCTGCTGATAATAAGCTCGTTTACTTCATTGTACAACTCAGCGAGAAGGGGCAAGTTGCGTTTGTGGAAGCAAAATTCGGACCGGCACTCGTCGTCTTCAAAACATCGAAGTTAAAATCAGGAAAGGAATCACGAGGTTGATCGAGATCATTCGACCGGTTTAAATCGTACAAGAGTAGAAGTTCCTGATCGTTTAACACACCTTCATCGTGGATTGTCAAGAGTTGATTGCGAACTTCTTTCAATGAAGTGATCCTAGTTCATCCTGATAAACAGAGGACGAATATTTGTATGGACTGTCCACCGGGACAAAACAATGTGTCTGTTGTAGAGAGGAGTTCACTGTGGAGAAGTGACCGTTAGTGGAGGTTCGACTGTATAGTTCATATAGGTTTAAACAAGAACCGGTAACAGGAGTGATTATGTACGTAAATTCTCAACACGTACCCATTTAAGACTAGTGCCTCCTAAGCCTTCTTTTCCCATCCCATTCATGTCCCTGGTGCATTTCTATACCAAAAACCTGGAGCAATATAGCTATTTTTTAAAGTTCAATAGGAAGGCTGTGTTTTTTTTATTAACGGTAATTAAGTCGAAACTTTCTACAACAGCCGCCTTGGGGACAAGGAAAGTCGCCCCTATAGAGCGGTATCAGTAGGGGTGAAATATGACACCGATATTTCTTGGATTTCAACATTTTTATCTTAAAAAAGGCTTAGTGTAACATGTAAATTCGTAACACAATCAAAATATATCAATAGGACAGAAACCAAACAGAAATAGAGACCAAAGACCCGGATCAATTTTCGTGACCATGTCCAATAAAAAATGGGGTTTTGCAGACAGCGTTCGTCAGTTGTTGATTAACTGGCCGTTGTGAACAGTTTTTTTTTTGGCAGTTGGGGCGTGTTTTAGTGGCTGTTGCTGTTGTGGAGAGGTGGCCGTTGTAGAGAGATAAAATAAGAGTGACCGTCCGCCGGAATGAAAAAAGTGGCCGTTGCAGAGAGGTGGTCCTTTGTGGAGAGGTGGTTGTGCAGGTTCAACTGTAGTTTCCATTTTTTCACGCAGACAGAGAAAACACCCTGCCTACACGAGGCGAGGAAGTAGCAGTTTGGATTCCCTGTCCACGCCCCCCCCCCTCCGGGGCAGGGGAGCTCGTCGTACCTTTTAGGGGTTAAAAATGAAGTTTTAGAAGCCCTCAGGGTGTGCAGCCTCAAAAGGTCCAAAGCGGGAGCTTTTGCGATGCCTTTTAGGGTATTGAACCGAAAAAAAATATGACGCAGGGAGATAATGTGTTATGTAACAAATGGTATCTTTTAGAGGAGAAAAAACAGGATCTTGGTACCTCTTAGGGGATCTTAGGGGATCAAAATTTTTGAGGAACACCCCCGTACTTCTTATGTGGGTGTCCTCCTCCCCTCGAGGTCCACGTCGCCATCTTCACTCACTTTGCAAAACGTGAGATAAGGACATATTTGGTACAGTGGCCGATTGTCACGCAATCCACATTTGCCGGATGGTCTGAACTGGGACCACCAAACAAAGTCAA